TAGCGGCATGAGAAGATGGTGCCGTTTCTTAGTTAGCTTCCATTTGGTAGTGATCAGCTTCTAAACTGAGCTTAGCCAGCAGGTGACTATATGGAGAGAAAGAACAGAAGTAGAAGTAGACCTGTCTGAGAAATGGGAGAGCGCAGGTCTGCTGCACTGGGAAAATAGTCATAGTATTTTCTGTATGATTTGTATGTACGTGTACACGCTGTGTGCATGTGGGCATGCAGGTGTGTGTGCTCGTGTGCACAGCCGTCATTCCTCAGAAAACACAGTGGATGGCACCTGAGTCATGGCCTCTCACTACCCTAGGACTTGGCAAGTACACTAGCTAGCCCGGGCCTGGGGTCCACCTGCCTCCTCACCCCGAGGCTGGGACTACAGTTGTGTGTTACCACATCTGGCTTTTAAAAATGTTAAGACTGAACTCAGGTGCTTGTGTTTAAAAACTATCATCCCAACTCTCTGTGAAACTTTATTATTCTAGTAATGTTACTGAGCGACATTTATTGTCAGATGAGTCCTTAAGAACTGAATTTTAAAAACTTTAAAAATTAGCAATGGTTTCGTTTGTTTGTTTGTTTTTTATTTTTTGTTTTGTTTTGTTTTTCAAGACAGGGTTTCTCTGTGTAGCCCTGGCTGTCCTGGAACTCACTTTGTAAACCAGGCTGGCCTCGAACTCAGAAATCCGCCTGTCCCTGCCTCCCAAGTGCTGGGATTAAAGGCGTGTGCCACCACTGCCCGGCTTAGCAATGGTTTTTTTATAATTTATTTTAGAGCTTTGAACAATGAACACTCTACTCATTTAGTGTATGACTAGACTGTGGTCCTCACTAAGAAAAGGGACAGTGGCTTAAACATGTGGCTTAAATAACATACAGTATTTAATTTTTTCATGTACTGTGTACGGGGAATCCTGTTGAAGGTACTCATGGGTGTTGACCTTGTTGACAGGGACCTAGGCTCCGTATCATTTTCTCTCTTGCTGTCCTTGGCTGTGATTTGGCTGCTTTAGATACAACATGCTTGCAGTGCTTCTAAGTGTCCTGTCTGAATTCAATGGACCAGTAAAACAAAACAAGACCTAAGCTTCCTTGATGCGTTCTTTACCTTTAACTGGGAAGAGAGGCTCTTCATGGCTGCTGACTGCATGCCACCAGCCACAGTGAGGCCTCATACACTCCACTTTGATTGATGTTTGTTTCACTGGGCAGACAGGAAAGGATCACTTACATCTTTTGCTTTGTATACAAATGGTTCCTCAGTAGCTCACGCTGAGGAATGCAACCATCACAGCAGATCACGCATCAGCATGTAGAATCTGAGCATCCTGTGTTGGTTGTATTTGGTAAGATTTTGTATGCTGTTAGGAAGGCATGCTAAAATAAGTGTGGTAAAGTCAAGGCGGATATTAGGATACTTGGTTTACTCTTCCGTCTTTTTCTCTGGCAGCCTAAAGGCGTGAGTGAAGAAGACATAAAAACTGTGTTCTCGTCTTGGCTACAGCAGTCCACTACCACCATGCTTCCTTTGGTAATACCAAAGGAAGAGTGTATTAAGCTGGAAATTAAAGATGGTAGGTAAAAGTGTGATTTTGTTTCTCCTATGAAACAGTTGTCACATCGAAACATTTTTAAGAATTGTTTTTCCAATTTGTGTCACATGTAAACAGTGAAACATAACAGTGTTCTCTGTATTAAAGAATGTCTTTAATTTAAATAAGTTTGATATTTCAAATCAAATTATTTCCTCTCGGTTTCAGTTCTAACTCTTTACTTTCTTCTTAATAGGGTTGAAAGAGTTCTCTCTGAGTGTAGTTCATTCTCAGGAAAAAGAAAAGGATCAAGAAAAAACTGTTTTTGTGTTGAGTCCCATTCTGCTGCAGAAGATCTCAGTACAAGTAATTATATACTATTGATGTGTAATGAAGCCGTGCTTGTTATCTGCGACTAGTAAAGTCTGAGTTTCTGTCTGGAAGTGTACATCCAGAAGTAGATTAGAAAGCACATGAGAAGAGTAAGGAATAGCTTGATTTTAACTATCTTACTCTGTAATTTATCTAAACAAATTACTGATTTATCCTAAATGTAAACAGCAGTTAAGCATGATAAAGTTCCAGATTTTCTGTCGCTTATATAATCTGGTAAACGGGTCACGATCTAAACTTCTGTGTATTAAACAAATGGAGATTTAGTTTTAGAAGACTGGGTTTTTTTTAAGTTCTTACTTTGGGGCCAGTGATATGGCTTGGTGGGTAAATGTGTTTGCCGTACCAGCCTGGTAACCTGAGTTCCATTCCTGGAAGCCATGTAAAAGCTGCAAGGAGAGAGCCAACACTACCAAGGTTGTCCTCTGACCTCCACATGTGCACATGGGACACCTCTTCATTGTAGTGTGTGTACACACACACCCCAAAGTTGTTCTCTGACTTCCACATGTGTACGTAAGCCACCTCTGCATTGAAATGCGCAACACACACACACACACACACACACACGAATCTTCTGACCCTCATGTGCACTGCAGCCCCTGATCCACCTTCTTGTTGCAGTGCAATACTGTAAATGTTTTTAATTCATATTTTCACATGCCTGTTCGCTATACTATTTTGACAGCTGTTAACTTCTCTGCTCACATTGCTTTTCTTGCAGAGGTGTCTTAGTGCCCCTGTTTTTAGAATATTGTTTTCCTTCTGCTTGCTGCAGTGGGATGGAAGCTGCACCCGTTGTTTGCAAGTTGAGTGGTTAGGATCTAGACACTGTTTCCTTATCTCTGAGATGTGATTGAGGGGCTGCCCTTCAGAAAAGGGGCAAATGTAAGGGGTGTGGGGAGAACACTTATGACATAGATGGAGGAAATACACACCTGTGGTGTGTCATCAACAGCTTCAGTCTCTGTGCTGTGAACGTCTGTGTTCCATGCATGAGGACCTGGGCAACAGAGTATCTCAGGCATGTTCTCGGTGCTCAGCATCTCCTTTCTCTGTTAGCAAAGTTGGTGATTCTTTTTTTCTGGGACTCAGGAATCAAACAAAAGACATAACCTTGAAATGTAAAACTGGCTTTTCCTTACTGTAGGTCCTTCTAGAGCCCGTGATAAGAGAAGAACACAGTGTGGAAATTGACTTTCTTCTTCCCTCTTTAACGCTGAGCTCTTTGGGGTAAGAGGTTATGGTCAAATGAGTGTGTTTACAGACTGCTTTGGATGCTCTCTGCAGCTCATGTACAGTGTGTTAAGTGGCCAGGAACGCCAAAGATGAGGAGGTAACTGTCGAGGATAGCTTCTGTTCTTACACACAGGTTGGAAGCTGACCTTGCCTCCTTAGGTAGGTGGTTTTATTAGAGATTCTCTCCTTGGAGAATTGACTTTTGAGACGAAAGCTAGCTGGAAATCACCAGATTGTACTTGACCAAAACAGTAGTGATTGAAACCAATAAAAGCATCTTAATAGCTAAGTCTAAAACACTGGTTCAGTGGTGGAAAATATTTCAAATTAAGTTATTCCTTCACTATTTTATTGTAATAATTAGCAACTTTTTGGTATTTTTTTCATCTTTTCAGAAAAACGAATCTGAAAAGGAAGCCCTCTTAGTTTCTTTATTTGCGCTATGAGAGGCAGCCACAGCAGCATTTGCTTGGTAGTGTGTGAGCTTATACTGGAGGCGAGAGCTTTGGTGAAAGAATTAACCCTCTAGAGGTGCAATGGTGTGCACTAGTAGGAAGTAAGCTCTCTTTGGATTCCACTTCAGGAGTTTTTGTTCCCTTTCTGTTTTCATGAATAAAATCATGGTAGAAATCAAGAAAGAGTATACATTCAAAGTATGTCTAAGACAGAGTGAAGCTAGGTTTCAAAGGGAAATTTCAGAGGAGCCGAGTCTTTGATTACCCCAGTAAGCACTCCCAAAGCAGCTGTTTGCAACAGTATTGATTACCAAACTGAAAGAGCCGTGAGGATGGGAGCGTTGAGATGTGCTAACAGACCCCACAAGCAACTGTTAGAACAGACTTTTCAGCATTGCAGTGTCTGAAAGCTGGACATCAGAGCCAGTCTTCCACCATTAGCCTAAGTAAAGGAAGCTTCTAAGACTTTACTCCTACAACATCGCTAACTAGCCCAGGAAGGAAGGCTTCAGTCTTTTATAGCTAGGTTTTATTTGCTACGGTCTTTTGTCACATTAGAATTTATGTGTTTTGCAGTGGAGTGAGTTCCTTAGGTATATCCGCCATGGAACACATCACTCACAGTCTTCTGGGACGCCCTTTGTCTCGGCAGCTGATGTCCCTGGTCGCAGGACTTAGGAATGGGGCACTTTTGATCACTGGAGGAAAGGTATCGGTTAAAATATGTTCCTTCTTACTAGCTAGTAGCATTTCATGCTTCTCTTTTGCTTTTGTTTATGTATTTTATAGAACTTTTAATAGGTGTGTGCTTGTTAGGTATTAGGGAAGTAATCATGAATTATATACCCTCTTGTCTTAGTTAGGGTTCTAGTGCTGTGAAGACACACCCTGACCGCAGCAACTCTTATAAAGAAAAACATTTCATTGGGGCTGGCTTACAGTTTCAGAGGTTTAGTCCATTATTATGATGCAGAGCATGGCAGGATGCAGGTAGACACGGTGCTGGAGAAGGAGCTGAGAATTCTACAGCATGACCTGAAACCAGCAGGAGACTGTGAGCCACTCTGGGCATAAGCTTGAGGATAGCAGACCTAAAATACCACCCACCCATCCCCAGTGGCCAACAAAGCCATGCCTCCTAATAGTTCCACGCCCTAAGGACCAAGCATTCAAACACATTAGTCTGTGGGGGCCATTCCTATTCACACCAGCACACCTCTCAATTCCTTTTCTGTGTAGATCGATAAGATTATATAATTTTTAGTGGTTAGCCTACTGATGAGGTTGTTGATAGTATTGGTATATTTTTAAAAATAAATCCCACTTGGTTGTGGTTACTTGTACTTACTAGCATTCTGTTTGCATTTATGAGAGACACTATTCTGCAGCTTCTGCTGCTGCCCTGTCTTGTCTAGTTTTACAGTCAGTGTGATGATGTGACCCAGGGAGTGGCACTCTCAGGAGGTGTGGCTTTGTTGGAGTAGGTGTGTCACTGTGAATGTGGGCTTTAATGCCCTGGTCCTAGCTGCCTGGAAGCCAGTCTTCTGTTTGCCTTCGGATGTAATAAGATGTAGGACTCTCAGCTCCTCCTGCACCGTGCCTGCCTGGATGCTGCCACGTTCCTGCCTTGATGATAATGGCCTGAATCTCTGAACCTGTAAGACATTCCCAATTAAATGTTCTTATAATAGTTGCCTTGGTCATGGTGTCTGTTCACAGCAGTGAAACCCTAGTTAAGACAGTCAGTGTATTACTTGCTCATGAAATGAGCTGTCAAGTGTCCCCTCATTTTTGTAGGGAAGAGACTATTAGGTTGGCATTCATTCATTCTTTAAATGCTTTGTAAAACCTGCAGCAAACCCATCCAAGCCTGGAGAGTCCTTAATTCAATAGCTTTTGAATGATCCACTCCATGTTCTGAATGGTTACAGGGCTGTTTGATAGTCTGCTTCATCTTGATTGACGAGCAGTTGTTGGTTTTTAAAGACTTGGTCCAGTTCATCTATACAATGTCAAATTTATGAGCATAAAGTTATTTTCTCTTATTTTCCTTTAGTTCCAGATTCCTGCAGGATCTGTTGTGCTACCCTGTTTCCTGACACTGGAGATGTGTCTTCTCCTTCTAACTTTATTTTCTTGGTTGAGATCCCTGACCTCTTAAAGAGGCTTACTGTCTTCCTCTCTACCAGTGCTGTGTTATTTCCTGTGCCCAAAGGCCCCTAATGGTGTTTTAGTCTTTGAAGTCCATCAAATTTAAATGTGGTAATTCTCTATAACATCTATATATGATCTAATTCTGTATAATATCTCTCTCTATAATAACTCTTTATAATACCTAATTCTGTAAAAGATAATGATGATAGTATGTATTTGTTGAGTGCCTCCGAAGTTTAGCTTTCTCATATCAAATGTGGTGGGTTTTGCTAGTAATCAGGACAATGTATGTGAACTGATACAATGCTGTTAGCCTCCAGACAAGTGACAGCCAGCACAGAGGAAGCTGATAGTGAAAAACTAGAAACCTACCCAGTGTGGTCGTGCTAGAGGACACTGGAGAGATGGGAGCAAGAATTGAAACGTGCTACCTTCTGATGTCATGGTGCTCCTTCTTTCTGAAAGCACACTGACGGCCCACTAAGCGGATCTGTGTGGATGTTCATTCTGACCTGGTGATGGCTAAAATCAGAAGGAACACAAATACAAAGCACAGGGAAATAACGTGTTAAACAGCTTAAGTAATAGCAGGAAATTCTAAAACTCCATTGATATTTTAGTTCTGTTTGTATACATTTGTAAGGAATGCTTAGAAGGATGAAGACTCTTGATGTAGGGTAGAGTTTTCACCTGAGGTCTTTCACCCTTCTTTACTAAGTATACTTGTTTTTAATCTTTACAAAATACTTTAGAATGAGAAAAAAAAACAATTTGTATTTGAAAAAAAAAAAGCTCATTGACTGTAAGCCAGTGTCGAGTCTGTCGTTCTTATATCAGTGTAGACGGTCTGGCAGCTGAATTGTCGCTCAAGGGCAGTGCTGTGTTCCTGTAATCCCAGCCTCTCCAAAGGCTGAGGCAGGGCATCTTAGGTTCAAGGCCAGACTGGCCAACATGATAAGACCTAGTCTGGTAAAACACAGCATATAATCATCTCTGTGACCAGAAAAAAAGTGCCTGAGGGTGGTACTCCTCATGAATTGGTAGCCACAGTGATGGCCATAAATCATTAAGAAAGTGGTAAATAAAAATTATCTAGTACAAGGTAATAGGGACATTAATCACTGACAACGACGGGGGACCGGAGCCACTACACGGTCCCCTTCAATCACTGCAGGTCAGGCCTCTATCCCCGCCATTGCAATATCAGAATCGACACAGCCCTTCTGTACTTAGAGAAGGGAGGAGATGTCAGGGGCAGCCCTGCTTACACACTGAAGGCCTAAAATCAGCCATAGGCCTAAAATCAGCCATAGGCCTGTCATACATGTATACTAACATCAAGTCTTGGGTCTCTGTGGAAAAACACTGAAACAGATGGCTATAAGCTAATGTAAAGAGGCAGCTTTTGTGGAAATTTATAAGCCTGAGTAGTCATAGACCTTGTAAATAGGTAGCCTTGCCAGACAATACCAACTTAGATAAGGACAAGTGAGTCATAGGCAGAGTCATAGCGACCTGTCCCCTGAACCCTTACCCAGCCGATACCCTGTGCTGAAAGAAATCTGTATTCCCCCTGAACACCCACGCTCCGTGTCATCCCCTTCCCCACATCCTGTCTTTCTGTGTTTATAACCCCTGTGTGAATGAGTATAAATTACAATTTAAAAATAAATAAATAAGTAAATAAATAAATAAAAATATCTAGTACAAGGTAATAGGGATATTAATCTACTTTTCTCATTAAAATAATTGAAATTAAATAGTTTATTTATTTAAAAATTATTTTATTTCTATATTAATCCTGTCTTGTACCAATAAAGTATTATTTTCACAGGATTCTATTTAAATGCTATCCATAGTATTAACTAGCAAGTGTAGAAACGAGTTTACTTTTTATCTGTGCATATCAAGAACCTTATTTTAGTAGCACAGAATCCCACATTGCAACTGGCCTGGTGTCCACTTCTCAGTCAGTGAGGCTGAATCTCGGTGGCTGCGGCAGTGGCAGAGCTGCCTCTGTAACGGAGTCTACTGAGTGTTCTGAGGACGTGATTGTCTTCCAGGGAAGCGGGAAGTCAACGTTAGCTAAAGCCATCTGTAAGGAAGCACGTGACACTCTGGACGCCCGTGTGGAGGTAGTCGACTGCAAAGCTTTACGAGGTAGGGAAGAATCCACACAGATCCCCCTTGTAGACAGGAATGTATGGTTGTGCTACTAATAGATACAGTTATGTAGTTTTTAAACTTTTATTTTTGTCTTTTAGTTATTGAGAGTCCTTAGAAGTGTGGAGGCTGGGCTTGCGGCACAAGTCTTTAATGCCAGCACTTGCAGAGCAGAGGCAGGTGGATCTCTGGGAGTCTGAGGCCTGATGGAAAGCGCAAGTTTCAGGACAGCCAAGCTACATAGGGAGACCCTGTCTCAAAAAACCAAAAAAAGAAAATCCGTAGAAACTTGAAGGCTTTATATTTCTGATGTTTGTGATAAAATCCATCGAAGTCTGTTTGACAGTCTGATGGAAGCCATTTGTTTAAAGTGAAAGCTCTGTAGAAACACCACATATACTGCTCCAAGTGTTTAGGGCATGCTGCATTTGAATCTAGGCTCCATCTTGGAATTGCTGTAGGAAACTGCTAGAACTCATG